CATACCTAAGATATTCAAATTATATTTAATAAACATAAGTAATAAAATTAAAAGTGCAATAAAATATAATAGAAATAAAATAAATCCACATTTACATTGTTTACTCAGGAAATATTCATAAAAAATATACTCGTGCATCAAAATAAACAGATAATTTTGCATTCGAGCTTGTTGTCTTTTAAAAACTGATACACGATATGAAAATAAACTCATGCAGTCTTTAGACAACAAGCTTTCATGCAAAATTATCGGTAATTTTGAAGCACTTGTGCAATTACTCCCGATAATTTTTCACAGAAAATACCTGAACATTGTCAGTGTTTTTAAGTTAAACTAGAAAATAATGTGTTTCTTGCTTAAGAAAAACTTTGCGAAAACTGGAAAGACCTGAAATTTTAAGTAAACTTTAAAATTCTTCAGAGCGGTGAGGGTTGCGAATTTTCCAAATAATTTTTTGTAATATTTTGCTCTCTGGCCGTTTTTTCAAGTTAATCTTATTTACTTTGGGAAAAAAGTAAATGAAATTATTTGGTTTTTGTGCAAAATTCGAAGCTCAAAAGGGTTTTCTACAATGTCCTGCAAAGCGATGCATGGGGCCAATTTTCTGACAAAACATTAATTGTGTTATTTTTGGCTGAAACGACCCCACGGTTGTCGGAAAGGAAGAAAAGCATCAGAAAATAATGGATTTTTTGCGCTTTTGATTAAAAACTTTTAGTTTTGTTTTTAGTTTCGGTTTTTCAGAAAACGGGAAAATTTTCGTTTTTGTTCCAAATTCGACGCTGAAAAAATGTTTTCAAAAGTCCTTCAAAGCTATAAATTTATCTTGTAATTTTTGGCGTAAAATACCTCCAAATTGTCAGTATTGTTAAGTGAAACTCTGCAAAATAGAGCGTTTTTGAGTATGAAGTAAAGCAAGAAATGAATTCAATTAAAACTAAAAATCCACAGTTTTTAAACCAACTCTACAGTCTTCAGAGAGATGGGGGTGATGAGTTTTTATAAACTTTCTGTTATATTCTGTATGTCTTTAGTCTGTTTGCTTTTTAGTAAAAAAATAGTTGATTTTTGTCCTAAATTTGAAGCTGGAAAGGGATTTCAATCCTTTTTACGAAACGACAAAGGATGCGAGTGTTGTAATAAAATTTATTTTAATATTTTTTGTGGAAAATATCCTTAGATTGTCAGTATTTGTACGTCAAACGTGTGTAGTCTGTGGTCCGGTCGCCCTTTGGTTGCGTTTTTGTGCAAACTGCATTCGTCAGAAATCAGACAAACACTGGCTTTTTTTTATCGATCGTAACTTTTACAGGATTAGATGATAATATCGTAAATACCAGAGAGTCAACTGCAACTATTGTTAGAATGTTAAATGTTGTAAATTAAATACAAATTTTACGTTCAAAAGGAAATTAAATTACCATTTACCTATTCGTTATCCATTAGTATTGCCATCGTGCGTTAAACAAGTTCAATATTTTATGGTTTCTACAAATAATATGAAGTTATCACATCTTTGGAGCGTCCCGTGGTGCACACCTTAATAAAAACCTTTTTAATCCCTGTATACATTAACAATGTATCATTTAAACAAATCCTTTCAACATGGTTTTCTCTAAATTCATCTACTCTTCGATTCCTTTGTACTACCATCATGCCTATTACTGCTTATTATTGCCTGATTTTTATAAAAGCTGATTTTAAACTTTCCAGATTTAGGCCCCACTACTCCAATTGCTGGCATACAGAACAACGAACTGGCGAAACCCAGTGATTTTAACAGGCCGACTTCAGGTTGGATCAATACTGTTCCTCTTAGCACCAGCACGGCGACACTGAGCAAAAGATCCGCCAAATCGGCACGAAAAGTGCCCTTGTCGGACAACTTTGTTAAATGCTACTTGAAGAAGCGGAATTTAATCCTGGAACTGTTGGCTGTGGAAATCGAGTTCTTAGTGGTCTGGCATAATCCGACTTCCAGGTAATTTTTATTTATTTATTTACCAGAAAAATATGTCATGTGTATGTTAAAATTGGCAATACCTTTATTTTCATTATGACGGCAACTCATGTAAAGTGTTTATTATAAAAATCAAAATACACTAATAATAATTAAAATTGAACTATAATTTTTATGGCGAAATATTTTCAAAAAGTCCACCATTATTATCAATTCAAACATTGCAGCGCTTTAAAACGCGAATAAGTTGCTTTTCTAACTGACCGACCATCAATTTTCTCAAAAGTTCTAACAACAGCGGCTTTCAGTTCATTTAAATTGTCATATTTATTAGTATAAACGGTGTATTTTACGGCTCCCCACAAAAAAAAATTCCAAACTGATAGATCCGGTGATCGAGGTGGCCATAAAATAGGACCGTTCCTTCCAATTGCTCATCCATAGAAATGGCTTTGCTCCATCTGACACGCTTAACCGCAAGTTTCTGACTGTTGGTTTTTACGCAATTAATTTTTGAAAATCGGTTGTGGCCTGCATGAGAAACTCAAATTTTAAAAATTCCCATTAAGAGCCTGATGATGGCAGACAAACGAAACCTCCCGCGTCCATAGAACTGTSTTCTCTCTATTCCCCACATTCAATCTCAAGTTTCCATCTTTCTCGGTTTTGGAGCAGTTTGTTTTTAAAAGTCAGTTAGAATCGACTGTTGCCTCTAAGAGCGAGTGCAATTTGAAAAATTCTCATCACGGTTCTGATGATGAAAACACAAAATCGAAACTTTGCTCGTCCATAGAAGTGGCTTTGCTCCATCTGACACGCTTAACTGCAAGTTTCTGACCTTGTTGGTTTTTACGCAATTAATTTTTGAAAATCGGTTGTGGCCTGCATGAGTGACTCCACTTTGAAAAATTCCCATTAAGATCCTGATGATGACAGACAAACAAAAGATCCCGCGTCCATAGAAMTGTTTTCTCTCTGTTCCCCACAATCAATTGCAAATTTTCATCTCTCGGTTTTGGAGCAATTTGTTTTTGAAAGTCAGTTAGAACCGACTGTTGCCTCCAAGAGCGAGTGCAATTTGAAAAATTCTCATCACGGTCCTGATGAAGAAAACACAAAATCGAAACTTTGCTCATCCATAGAAGTGGCTTTGCTCCATCTGACACGCTTAACCGCAAATTGCTGGCTTTGTTGGGTTTAACGCAATGAATTTTGGAAAATCGGTGTGCACCAGCTGTTGCCTGCATGAGTGACTCAACTTTGAAAAATTCCCACTAAGATCTTGATGATGGCCGACAAACGAAACGTCCCGCGTCCATAGAACTGTGTTCTCTCTATTCCCCACATTCAATCTCAAGTTTCCATCTTTCTCGGTTTCGGAGCAATTTGTTTTTGAAAGTCAGTTTGAATCGACTGTCGCCTCCAAAGGCGAGTSCAACTTGAAAAATTCTCATCACGGTCCTGAAAAGTTAATTTGAAATGTTGTAGTTTGTAGCAGAAGTCGTTGATTTCCTCTTAGTTTGTGGTGTGGTTTTAAGGCAAGACTTGACCATACCGTTGGAAGATATCGCAAATTGGCGATTAAAAAATATGACCGACAAGCAATGGCATGATTATACGCGTCTCGCTTGGAACATTTCGCCAGTGTTGGCCGTCTACCTGCCGACAAGATTCAAAACAAACGAGTCCATAATCAGCGAAGTTAAAATCCAGGTGCAGATGAACCCGCGGTCCGTTTCGCACGTGCCAGATGCACTCCAGTATCTGGCCACAACTGATACGATTCTGGCCGACAGTCCCAAATTGACGCATATGCTCACTTGGGCCCGAGTCTCACCCATCCAGGTACTTTGATTCGCTTACAAACAAAATGAAGCGATCTTTAAAAGCGAATCTTTTGCAGGCTCTCGCATACTTCAGCAGGCAATTTCCTTTCCATCCAATTTCAGCCCAGTACGCGGTAAGGGTTCTGAGCTCGTATCAGGCCGATGCGGTGTTGTTTTACATTCCACAGCTGGTGCAGAGTTTGCGCCACGATAAGGTAAGAAAAACTGGATTTTTTTGGAGCGATGCTCATCTGTTGGTGCTTGCAGATGGGGTACGTGACGGAATTTATCAAGTGGATAGCTAAAAAGTCGCAAATAGTGGCGCACCAGCTCATTTGGAATATGAAAACCAACATGTACACGGATGAAGATATGCAGCTTAAAGACCGTAAGTGGCTGAATGAAACCATTATTAATATCATGAAAAACGGGCCGTTTTTTGCCCGTAATTTTGCCTCTTCGATGCGAAAGCGTTTCACGTCATGGTCCCTGCAAAGGTTTAGAAGTTCACATGTGTAAGACGTTCGCACAGCTTACTTTTAAAATAAGGGCTCTCGGCCCGTTTGTTATGTATTCTCACTACCAACTGTGGGAAAAAGGGCGCGTAGGTTCTAAGGACATCCCCTTTACCCGTCTGTTACATCCATACCCGTCTGTCTACTTTGCATCGTCTCTTCATTTTGCTCATTTTTTTCCAATATAGTCTTCCGCGTTAACTAATTTCGTCTTTTTGCTAACGTTTCCAGATTTCCAGGACCGTTTGTGCGTCTTTTCACGCGCAGCAGATTCGCATTGGCTGCCTGGAGATCGTTTTTTCCGTTTTACTGCGGCCGTAATTTTCAAAATTTACCGTCACAAGTTTGACCCCTCGGGATTTTGGCTATACGATTTTGGCTACGACTATTATTTGGGACCACGACATAAAAATGTCATGTTCAAACTTGTCCTAGTTTAAGAGTTACAGACGCTTTTTTTATTAAGCGGCCAGTTTCAGTGTTCTTTCGGCTTCAAATTTGCGCGTTTTTTTAAATCAAATTGTGCGTCGGACGATGTCAGTTTCTGTTTAAGTGAATTTGTATTTTTTGAGACCACGACGTAAAAGCATCATGTCCAAACTTGTCATTGACCAACATTGACATAGTTGACAATCACATTGGCGCGACATCCAAGGCGATGTGAAAAATGTGAAAATTTCCAATGGTGATAGTTTCCAAGAAAATGTCCATAGCACCGATGTAACTAAGGGGATTTCCCATGTTTTTCAACATTCAAAAATCGACAGAAATGTCAAATAACCTTCGATTCAAATGGCGATCAATCGGTTTGAAAGCGTCAGGTTATATGTGACCTAAAACGACGTCACTCGACCTGTGCTGAGCATAATGTAGGTCAACACAACACATTAAAAATTAAGTTAAAACAGAAATTATAATAAATATAAATTAAAACTTGGAAGCACATGTGGAGCCACCACCTCGAACTGAAACAAAATGTTATTTATCTTAATAATAGGGTGTTAGTTATGGCAAAAATTACGCTGATATAATTTTTTTGACAAAAAACGTCTCCATAATAACTTTAAAGCGAATTTAAATTCAAATCAGACATTTTCCGTCAAAAACGCCGAATCCGTATCGTCGGTTGCCTATCCGGATTGTGACGTAGCAAGTCATATCAACAAAGTGTCTCGTGTTTATTTTGTTGTTTTCGCAGCTTTGTTTTATTATTTAAGTTATTGTGATTATCATTATTTTGTTTATTATTATTATTATCTTGCACAATGGAAAATAGTGACATGTATGGATCACAAAATAAGTGGTGTTTTGTGCCAGGATGCCTCAACAAGTGCTCCAGACAAACTCTTTCCAACCGTTCCCCATGATTATACACGTAAAGTTTTATGGTTCAAAGCAGCTAGACGTGATGGTCCTAAATCAAAATCAATGTTTTTTTGTTGTGAGGATCATTTTAATGAAAGTACGAACAAAAAGCTAATGATGAGGCAGACAGAATATGCCTTCGATCGTATTTTGTGTTCTGGGCAAATTCTACCTTGTACACAAAGAACCTTCTCGTTTCAATTCCACATATTCGATATCACCATATTGTTCTCGTGATGCCCAAAATACAAATTTAAGAGTTCATTTTACTTTTAAAGCAGCCATGTGTATAGGGTAGGTTAAGTTGAATAAGTGAACTTCTATATATTTTTTACCTTCTATCTTCTTCTATATATTTAAGCCAATACAGACAGATTAGTATATTAAAGAGAGAGTAACTAATAATGAATTTACGGATTTTTACTTACGCTTCTGCTTTGACACCCTTGAATTCGGCAGAATTAAAGCGTTCGTCGTTTTTAAAAATTCGGTAACGATTTTTTTCGAATTTTTTAGTTACTTTACAAAATGAAGTACACTTTTAAGAATTCTATGTATATACCCACCCAGTGTACCTACGTATTATAATCTACTTTTAAATTCCAGCTGTTCTTTTTGAATCATTGGAAAGTTTGGTAAGCAACATCCTCAGCGAGCTGTCGGGTCCAGCAAAAATGTTCTACGAACGAGAATTCGACTTTTTCGACAAGATTACCAACATTTCCGGTGAAATTAGACAGTTCCCGAAAGGCCCTGAAAGGCGAAAGGCATGTTTGGACGCTCTCAGCAGGATTAAGGTAGTTTTCCCAGATCTAGTGGTGGCGAGAAGTGATGGTGAAATTGATCTACTATATAGGTGCAACCCGGCTGCTATTTGCCGAGCAATCCGGAAGCGATGGTGATGGACATTGACTATAAAAGCGGAATTCCCATGCAGAGTGCAGCAAAAGCTCCGTATTTGGCCAGGTTTAAAGTGGTCAGATGTGGTATAAACGAACTGGAGAATATTGCGATGGCTGTTTCTATAAACGAGGTAAGGCAGAGTATTTTAGGCAAGTTTCAAATCAAATGGAGCAATAAATCATTAGAAATTGGTCAATGAGCGGAGGCGTTTATGCTATAAACTGCGCGCATAAAAAAGGTATTGTAAAGAGAGAAAATGTGGCTTTTGTGGGCCATTAGTTAATTGGTTTAATACCTACGGATGTCGCGAAATACGTTCAAAATTGCCAACGTTTTTCTTAAAACATTATGAGTCAAAGTCAGTATATCAAAAAATATAAATGCAGCATTGAAAATTCTTTACGGTGGTGATTCTGTAGCGAAGGCGAAGATAAGATGCTTAAATATCCATACATTTTTATTAGGAAGTAGTTTGACCGGAAGATCTCCTAATAAAATAAATGGATAAAGTGTAGCAAATGGTTACGAGTATACTTTACTTCTGTGTATTTTGGGTGAGAGTAGGGGAAAAATTAATTTAAAAAATTTGAGTTTATTTTAGTTTTACACTAATAAGATGTTAGCTCTTCTATCTTATTTAAACGTTTTTCTTTGGTGGTGCCTTTAATAGTAATATCTGCTAATTGTCTTCTTGTTCGGGTTTACTACGGAAGACCATTTGTATAGTACGCGGCAGATCAGCAATAAACAAAAACAGATTAATACTGTTTTTAAAATGAACTAGACAGTTGTGTAAAACTTCGATAAATACGAACAACCGATACTACTCAACCACTCAATAGCGCAGTCGGCGCTGGAATAGATTCAACAAAATATCTGCTTATATCACGGCTTCAGGCAAGGATCGTGCACCGACTGGCGATATCTGCTGAGTCGCCGTGTGCGTGCGAGAGAGAAGGCCAGAGACCTAGGGTGGAGACGGCCAGACATAATTGCGCCGTAACGCATTCCTATCGATGCACACCGTGCCATAAAGAGTTACCACTTCAAAAATCTAATGGATCTAAATCCAACGAACGGGGAGGCCAAAAATTTGGTCCTTGGCATCCAATTCATCTACGTGAAAAAATCTTAAAATCTCGGTAGAGTAGTGATGCATAATTTGCACTGCTTGCATTTGCACTGCACCATTGATAATAGGATATTATGGTACAAGAGACAAAAGTCGAAGTTTGGCCACTGCTTGAAGTTGACGCTCGAGGCAAAGCCGAGGGATTAATAAGCGGTAATTCGATAATTTTGAAAAACACAAAAATTCGAGAAATGTTTTACAGAGTATGGAATAAAATCAATCCGTGTGAGTAAATTGAAGGGTAGCGGGACTCCTCCAATCCTGGCGGGGGACAAGTCTACTTCAGGAAAGCGTCCCTGCCCATGCGAGCCTTGGTCTTCCTCCACTTCCTAACACCGGGGTAAATCATGTCCGAACCTGGTACCCGACCCAATATTTACATGATCCTTCCTATATCCTTACCAACTCACCATCCCGCTTGGCAAGCTTCTTCTTCTTCTTCTTGTACTTTTCCGAGATTTTGCGATTTGTTAATTCTGGTTTTCTAGTAACCTACTGGTTTTCCCTCCAACACGATACGTCGTACACGGTTTTCGTCCATCCTCTTTACGTGACTGTAGCACTGTCTCTTTCTTTGTCTTCCCCATCGCACCACGTCCACTGCACTCCACACTGTTTCCGGATACCCGTGTGTCTCACCCTGTCTCTTAGAGTCTTCATCTCTGCTACTCGCAGCATGCACTTTGCTTTATTTGTTTCTTCTCGTATTTCTATGCCGTATGTCATAATGGGTCTCACGCATGTTGTGTATATTTTTACTTTGCTCTCTGTTAGCATGTATTGATTTGCCCATGCGATTTCCCTAAGGCATCCTGATACTGCCGCAACTTTATTGATTTGGCTTCTTAGGTCCTTGACTGGGTCATGACTACTTGACAGGTCTACGCCAAGGTATTTAAATTGTAATACTTGTTCTATAGTTTTTTCTTCGATAGCAAATTTGCATTGAACAGGTTCCCTGGCGATTGTCAGACTCTTTGTTGCTTGGCAAGCATGGTCTTTAAATTGCCACACACCTTGTTCAAAACCAATGCATAGTCGAATCCTAAATTGAAGATATTCCAGGAGAGTAGAATAAAATATTCAGAATCTCTCACTGTCAATATGGCAGTCTGCTCCATGGATTCTGGGGGGGGGGCGGCAAAGATTCGATTGAAGCCAAACATCGAAAACGAAATGATCTCTATATAAGCACATATAGCATACGAACTCTGAGAACACAAGAGCATCTGGAGGAGTTACACACATAAAATGGGTCGTAGGTATATAACCCGACGCCCAGGGAAGAAATCAACAATATTACAGTCAGATATGTGTTATACCACAATAAATTACAGTAACGGGGAGTAGCATTTCTAATGAACAAACGACTGAAACACCAGATTACATCGTATCGGGCAATATCCAATAGGGTAATCTACATAACCATCAAACTAAACAAACGTTACAGTCTACAGCTGATACAGACGTATGCACCAACAGGCAGAGTAGAAGATGAAGAAATTGAAAAACTGTATGAAGACATCATAACAGCACGTAAACAAGAAAAGGCTCATTTTGTTGGTGTCACTGGAGACTTTAACGCCAAGACTGGACAAAGGACAGCAAACGACAATGAACATATAGGACCTTTCAGTCTAGGCGAGAGAAACGATAGGGGATACGAATTATTATGCGAAGAAAGTTTATACTGCATGAACACTTTCTTTATATACTCTTGGATCAGCCCCGGCAAAACAGTTAAAAATGAAATAAATTTTATACTTTCCAACGACAGGAAAATATGCAGGGTTGTGACAGTATTGAACAAATTGGACGCTGGAAGTGACCACCGGTTGGTCAGAGCCGCCTTTAGAATTAACACAAAGATCGAAAGAAATAAACTATTTCATAAAGAAAAATTCCCCACTACAGAAAAAATCGAGGACAGAAGAGAAGAATACCAACATGAATTAAAGAAAAGGACATAGACAACCTCTCGAACAAAATAAAAAGCGACATCCAAACAGTTGCCAAAAAACTTTGCACTAATAAAAAACGAAAACATAAAAGTAAATTAAGCACGAACACAAAGATACATATGGAGAATCAAACAACAAAGTCAGAAAGGAGATAAGAAGAGATATCAGAAATTACAACACAAAATTGTACGCCAGACGTCAGAAGACAACAGCAATATGAAAGTGCTACGCAGGAAGCTAAGCACAGGCAAACAAAAAAACAAGTAAAATGAAAAACCAGCAGGGAATTTTAATTCCTGCTAGCCAGCAGACAAAAACCAAAAGTTATGAACGTAGGTTCGGAAGAATTACCAGAAATTACAACATCAGAAATATATGTAGCACTTAAACAAATGAAAAATCGTAGGGCACCTGGCGAGGATAATATAACTTGCAAAATGCTGAAAAATGGAGGACCAACATTAATACACGCCCTAAAATTACTATTTAACAAATGCCTGGAGGAAGGTAAAATATCAAAGGACTGACATAACGCGAAGGTCACATTCTAATATTCTAATATTTGAAAAGGGGGATAACACAAATATAGAGAATTATCGCCCGATAAGTCTGCTCTCTCACTTATATAAATTGTTAGTGAGAATCGTAACAGACTAACATCAAAGCTTGACCAATACCAACCAGTAGATTAAGCTGGCTTTAGAAAAGGTTATAGTACCGTGGATCACCTACAAGCACTAAAGTTAAGTGCTCATTGCAAAATCAAATTAATATAACGTTCAACTTTACCTAGTCTTTGTAGACTATAGACAGGCTTTCGACTCTATGAAACATGGGCCTTCCTCTCATCAATGGATGATGCCAGAATAGACTCCAGGCACTCGCAGGTTATAAAGAACTTATACGAAAATGCCACCTTCTGTGTCCAAATGGATCAGGACTGACTAAGACGAATAAAATCCCGGTAGGTGTACGCCAACAAGACATAATCTCCCCAAAATTGTTTACACTGACCCTAGAGAACATATTTAAGAAAATCCAGTGGGAAACTAAAGAAATTAAAATAGACGGCTCATATAAGAATCATTCACGCTTTGCTGATGACATTGTGCTTATTAGCTGCGACATAAATGAACTTAGAACAATGCTAGAAGATATAAAGCACATGTCATCGAGAGTGGAACTTGAGATGAATATCAGCAAAACTAAAATGATGAATCCAATAGGAGAGTGAACATTTGGAAATTCAAGATCAAGTAATATGAAACGTAGATCAGTTAATATACCTTGGACAAGCAGTAAAGCTTGAAAATCAAACGGCGGAGATTGGCGCAATGTAGCCAGACAAAGCAACAGCAAATGGACGAAAAAGTGAATTCAATTCAGACCCATAGAAACAAGGAGGAGCATAGCTAGACCCCCAAAAAGATGGCTAGATGATGTGAAGAGAATAACGGGCACCCATTGGCAGCAAACAGCTCAATATAGAAATGCATGGAAGAGTAAATTGAATTTAAACCAGCGCGAGATGTAAGAAAAATGTCAAACCATTCATTAAGAGCCAAGGGCATTTTTTGAAAAAATTGTTGTAACCTAGCGGGCGCAAAGTAGCACCTTGACACCTCACATTTAAAAAGCTCTCCAAAATCGAGGAAAAGTGAGACTAAACTGGCGATCGCCATATTAATAGAAAAAACGGCTTCTATTAAATGATGCTGAAAGCAGCCTTCTTCCTAAAGCGAAATTAGAGTCGCAACAAAATAATCTGTTGAAAAAAACTTGGTGGAAACAAAACAGCATCTTGAAACCGAAAAGCTAAAAAATTCCTAAAAACGGAGGAAAAATGAGTCTAAATTGGCGATCGCAGTGCTAATAGAAAAATCTGTCTCTATGGAATGATGCTTAAAGTAGCCTTATTTTGAATCACCGGTTAGAGTCGCAATTTTTGGAAAATTTTTGAAATACTGACGGGAGCAAAGTAGCACCTCGAAACCGCATACTTAGAAAACTCCCCAAAATCGAAGAAAAGTGAGACTAGGGCGGCCATCGCAGTATTAATAACTGAAAATTGTTTCTATCAGGTAATGCGTAAAGCAACCTTTCCCTAACCCTGAGTAAGAGTTATAATTTTTTGAATAATATCTTGCAAACTTAGAGGAAGCAAGACAGAACCTTGAAGTGTTACCTTTAAAAAACTTCCAAAAATTGAGGAAAACAGACGAAATTTGCGAAAGAAGTGTTAATGGTGAAAGTTCTCTCTATGGACCGATGCTGAAAGCAACCTTTCTCCTAATCCCTGGTGAGAGTGATATTTTTTTCAAAAATCTGATGCAAACCTGGTGGTAGCAAAACAGTACCTTGAAACCTCAGAGTTAAAAAACTGCTAAAAATTGACCAAAAGTGAGACCAAGCCTAAATCGGCAGGACTAATAGGAGAAATCTGCGTCTATTTAATAATTTTTAATGTAGCCGTTTGACTCATCCATGACAAATTTGTCAAAAAACTCTTGCAAACCCTGTACTGGTAAAACAGTGCTTTAAATCCTCAAGTTTGAAAAACATTCCAAACTTTTGGTAAAAATGAAACTAAATGGACGATCGCAGGAGTAATAGAACAAAGTTTCCTCTATTCAATGAGGCTGAAACCAGCCTTCTGCCTAACGCCCCTTAGTGGCACCAATTTTTGAAAAATATTTTGCAAACCCAGTGGGGTAAATCGGCATTTGTAAGCCTCAAACTTAAAAATATCCTGAAAATTGATAAAAGCTGATACTAAAGTGGCACTTGCGGTATTAATAGAGCACCGGTTCCTCTATGTATTCGTGCTCAAGGCGTCCATCTGGAATTTTTGTAAAAACCGGAAGCAAACATGCTGGAAGCCATACTAAACTGAAAAATATCTATAAAACGGACGAAGAATGGGATTGAAGAGATTCTTACGGGAGAAATAAAGTAAAGTTTATCCTGTATGGCAGTGATCAGATGAAGCAGCTGGCAAATTCCCATTTTCAATGAGAAATTTTTGAAAAATCTCAGTTAAACGTGAACTAGACTTTGAAAAAATTGAAGGTAAATTCATAGTCTCAAAGCTATTAGAGCAACGCACATGCATAAATGGGCATTAAGAACGCAGTGACGGGGCTTCGACTTTCGCCTCGCGTACCGTATACTATTTTTCTTGATTATCGGTGGAAACTAGGCATCACTTTTACTCATTTCAAATTTTCTTTATCCCGTGTGGAAAGTAATAACTTTCGCCACGCACGCTGACTGCTTGATTGTTTGTTACTGACTGTCAGCTGACTATTTTGAGATCATTTTCAAAAACTTATACTTTTTCCGGCTAGTTTCCACCGAGGATTAAGAAAAATTGTTGACCGCTTTCAAACAAAGATCCAAGTCTGTCATACGCAGCTTAAGCGACCGTAATTCTTCCCTTTAACTCGCATGTTTGGTTATCTCGCGAGATTCGTATTTCAGCAGTAATGTGTCCACTAGGGACCATATTTGTCATAAATTTTGCTTTCGATATATTCATTTTTAGCCCGACTGAGCACATCCTCCCTGAGGGTATTCCAGCATTTTCCTAATATCTTGTAGGTTGTCGACACATCATCCGCGACAATTGCTATCTGACGAACTCGAACTTATTCGTCCGATCTCTGATGAACGCAGCTGGCATGAAAACATATCCAAAGGACGACCGGCCCACAGACTACACACTATTATAAACGTTAACGTTCGGGCGGCGAATGGCAATGTCTGTTGTGTCGCCGTGTGCGTGCGAGCGAGAAAGCAAGAGATCACAGAGACATTCCATTGGGCTTACATCAGATTTATGTTCAGAAGTTGTCACTTCTGAACGAATGTGTATTAAAATGTTGTTTTTTTTATCGGAAGCTCTCATTGAAAATTTATATTTTTGAGAAGATAAACGTGTAGGGCTTGAGGGAGAGTTCTGTGAGAAAAAATATTTTTCGTTTCCTCAACTTTAAATGTATTCAAAGAATTACTGATTACTTTCAGACATACGAGTTCTCTCTGGGTCCCGAACAATGGCAAGCGGCTATTTTCAAAGTGGGAGATGATGTACGCCAGGACATGCTAGCGCTCCAGGTTATCGGCATATTCAAGCACGTCTTCCAAACCGTCGGTTTGGACTTGTACCTTTTCCCTTATCGAGTGGTTGCTACAGCTCCTGGGGTAATCTACCTTAACACCAATCAAACAGTAAACATTCTCCTAATTTATTTACGCTAAAATTTCAGTGTGGCGTAATCGAATGCGTACCAAACGCGAAATCTCGCGATCAGCTTGGACGGCAGACCGACATTGGGATGTTCGAGTATTTCTTGACCACATACGGCGAAGAGACCAGTAAAGAGTTTCAGAACGCGCGTAGAAACTTCATCATTTCCATGGCTGCTTACAGTGTCGTGGGCTTTTTGTTGCAGATCAAGGACAGGCATAATGGAAATATCATGCTGGATACCGAGGGACATATCATACATATTGGTAAGTCGATGGATATGTATTTTTCGAAAGTATTAAAGTTGTTAGCATCGGAAGTTCCTAAACCATAAAAATTACTTAGTGTAACAGAATGGCGCACACTGGACTGGACAGAACTGGTTGAAAACCAGTCTTGTTTGGGCTCGAGTTATTCCGGATTTGATTATCTAAAGCATGATTGTATGTTGATCCAAATCTGAAACCAGTTACTGTTAATTTCTGTGTGTAAACGATACTGTGTTTCTCTTACATACAGATGGGTGCTTGAGTTGTGATGTATCAGCAACCTGCAGGTATGGACTTTCTTTCTGGCGATCTTTATAAGTATATTTTTTTCAATTTGATTAATAATAAAAACAATAATTTTGTTGGTACCATCCGGACAAGATGGTGCAAGTTTCGAGACTCGCTAACCTCAGGCACCCCCAGGACCGGTTTCGAGCCGAGCAATTCTTGGATGGCGTCGGTTTTAAGGTCTTTGTGCATGTTCCTGTTAGCAGGGCGCTTTGGAAATGGATCGTAGGATTTTGTTTTGGACTGTGTGGATTTTGACTGTGTTGGTTTTGTTTGTTTGTATGAAGGCTGAGACACCGTGGTCGGAGGAGTTGTTTATAAAGGAGGAGTTCATTTTTAGTGAGAGTTAAAAAGTTAAATTAAAGTTAAACTGAGGCGGGTTAGTAGGGGATACAGGGCTGAGTGATTCTTAAATATTTTAAGTGTTTTACTCAGGCAATGGTTTTGTTGCGAATGGGTTAAGGTTTTTAGTTTGGTTGTGTTCATTAGTGTCTGAGTTTTTTCCGCGTTGATTTTAATTTTCCATGTGTCTGTCCAGTCTGTTAGTTTGTCTAGATGTCTTTGTAGTTGAGTTTTTTGGGTCGTCCGCGAACAGGGCAATTTTTGTGCCGAGATCTTTGGGGATGTCAGCAGTGTAACTATTGTAGAGAATTGGGAAAAGAGGGGATCCTTGCGGAACTCCGGCTCCCACAGCTTTTGGGGTAGAGGTTGTTTAGTTGGACTTGGAATTTTCTGTCTCAGAAGATTGCAAGAGACTATGCAAAACTAAGTGGCAGATTGCAGAGGCCGTCCAAGTTCCAGATTAGCCCTTTGTACCAGACCTTATCGAACGCTTTCTCTATGTCCAGGAGAATAACACCCGTAGAGGATTTCTCCTGGAGCCCTAGATTGGCGTCCTCCATAAGTCCGGTCACTTGCAATTCGGAGTCATGGGTTCTCATGAAGCCGAATTGTTCGTGAGGGAACCGTAGTTATGGGAGATTTTTTCCAAGAGTCCTTCTTTGAAGAAATTCGCCGTAAGTTTAAAGAAGGTTGGCAGAAGGCTAATAATCCTGTATGATAATCGAATATAACACAATATATGTTTGTGTGGCCTAAGAAACGATCAAATAATCGGGCCACAGTTTCTGCGAGACATCTTAAATGGGCAAAGATCCGAACACCTTCTTATTAATCATTTGCCACCGGCACTGGAAATTCTGCCGCTAAATATTCGTCCGAACGTGATCTTCCAGCATGCCGGGGGTCCTGCACATTCTCGGCAAACGGATGGGTGGGGGAGAGGAGACCCCTATAGCATGGCCTGCTAAACGCCCAGATCTAACTCCGTTAGACTTTCACGTATGTAGCAGGATGAAAGAGTATGCCGGAGAAATACGTACAAGGGAAGAATTAAAACAGCGCATTAGCAGATGCCGCTATTAATCTAAAAGCTCGTGCACACGGGGACATTAATGTGAAGTGAATGCCACAACAATGTCATTGTCCGTACACCTGAATGTCTCAATGTCATAGAGTCGTGACGTTAGTGTCACATATCAAGATTGACATCTCATCCCATGATATCTTGGTGACATTTTGACATTTCTTGAAGGTTATCAATCTTTGGCGCGATATTTTCATTTGGTTTGGTTTTAAATCATGTTCCCTTTTGATTTGATTACATGTCTGGAATATTACCAATCATACCCATGTCTATGGGATGAACCTATTGCCGATTATAAGGATAGACAAAAACGTTCCCTTAGTAGAGTTTCTGATGCCCCTAGTTTGTTTCTACGCATCATCCACCGTCTCATCCATACTCTTCTTCTTCTTCTTCTTATTCTTTGTAAAGACACTTTGGTCTGTTTATTTCGTCTGGTTAATGTTGTTGATTCTCCTGTGATATGGATGTCCAATTATCCTTCCATCTTTTCGGTGGCCTTCCGATGGGTCTTTTACCAGCTGGATTGCCATTCGACACAATCTTGGCTATTCTTTCGAGGTCCATTGCTACGAGTCAGGTCCAGGCTGCATGGTCCCGCCAGCATCTTCTGCGCTTGCGTCCTCATCTGATTACATCCTCCACCTTGCAGGTCCGTCTTATTGTTGCGATCCTCACTCTATCCCGTAGTGTTTTTCCCGCTATTGACCTTAGAGTCTTCATCTCTGCCATTCTTAAGATACGCTTTGTTTTGTTTGTGTCTGCTCGGATCTCGATGCCGTAGGTGAGTATTGGTCTTACGCATGTTTCGTATTGTAACGGAAATGGCCTGGGGTACTCACGTTTGGAATGGGGGATCGAAATTCATGGTGTTTTAGTAAATGGGAGCCCCATTTGGGCCCCATTTACTGTCAAATATGACACTGACAAGCGGGAAGTTTCGCACCTGTTCTGGAGATTTCTAGAACTATCTGGAATACCTGGAGAAAAGGATATAAGCGACGACGAGAACCAGACGAAAGGGAGTGAAGTGACAGCCGCGCCTGAGTGCAGAAGAAGTTAAACCCGCGCGTCGGAAATCCGTGTTTTCCGTGTGTTATTGTTATCGTTAGTTAGAAGTTGACATTAATTTAGAAGTTAGTTTGTTCCTGTTCCGTAGTTAAAGTTGTACCGAGTGGAATAAAAGTTGTAAGCTGAGGAAAGAGTTTAAATACTCGGCCATCCACGGTACAGTATATTTGAACTTTACTGTCGATGCTCATATGCTTGTTGTTCCATATGACGTTTCTTAAGCAACCTGATGTTAGCGAGGCTTTGTTGATCTGGAATGTGAGATCTTTAATTGGTTCGTTGCGGCTAGAAATATCCGCTCCAAGGGCTTGTGCTAAGCTGTGACTTGCCCGACAATTTCATTATTTATAACCGGCTTACATCTCGTTGGTTCCCTGGCAAATGTCATACATTTTGTCTTGGACATTGATATTTGCATATTAAATTGTGTGCTGACCTGATTCAATCTGTGAAGTTGCCTTTGCAAATTGTCCTCCGTTTCTGCCAATATTGTCGCGTCATCAGCGTAACAAATTATGCTAATGGGTTTTCTGTTGATCCTATACCCCGTTTTAAGCCGCTGATATCTTCAATGATCTCGTCCATTATCAGGGTGAACAGAAACAGTCTTAAGCTATCAACTTGTCTTATACCCTGCGATATCGGCATGTTATTTGTTGTCTTATGATCAACTTTAATTCGGGTTGAATTGTCTGTGTTTAGGCAGTATACTGTTTTTATAATTCTTGCTGGCGTTCGTTTTTTCTTCAGGATGTTGATAATGTCTTCCAGTCGGACACGGTCAAATGCTTTTGTTAAATCGATAAAACATGCAAAAGCGGGGGTGTCGAATTATATTGCCTTTTCTTTTATTGTAGACCTATTTCTCCGGATTCCCTGCTGTTCGTCTTTAATTTCGATATGTTATTCCAAGTTTTATTTAATAAGGCCGGTGAATAAGTTCATAGAGGAACATAGAAGATTTATACCCCTGTAGTTTTCTGGGTTGGTTTTTTGTCCTTTTTTGAAGATGGGTATGGTGAAGCTCTGTCGCGACACTGTGTTCGGCACACATTCACACCGTCTGAACGAGCCTTTAGACAGACATTTTCCGCCAGGGTAACGCGGACAGAAATAAGAAGGCGGGCACATGCATGCGTTAGAAGAAGGGGACTTCATTTTGAGCTACATCTTAAGTAGTTACTGTTTAGAATCCAATATTTGGCAATTTTTTGTAATAAAATTGATACAATCTAACTTTGCAATTTCTGCTGTTTTTGTGCGTTGTAGAAAAAAGTCAACCAGACCTTTTCTCTTCCAAATTGAACAGGAACTTGAAAAATTCTATTTATTTTTAGAAAAATCAGTAGCGTTGCATTTTTTTTATTTAAAATTATCTACGGACATGCCTGTGCTCACGCCACTGGGAGACCTAAAATAATTTTTTTATCGCAAAACGTGTATTGTTAAGTGTCTAAGTCTGTAAAATTTTATTAATCAAAACTTTGACACCCTGTAGATCGGACACTAAGAGTTTTCGGAATATAAATCCAATATTACTTCCTGCAAGGAATGCATCTACTAGCCAAACACCCTGTATGGTCAAGGCCATCCTGAGCTGAACACTCGGATAATAGGCATGATTGAGTAAATTCTATTATTTTGACATCAGCAGTTACACCATCATATATTCATGGCGGGCCACCCTGTATATATGTACCAAAATTGCATTCTCTGTATAACTTAATGAGGAATTAAACAATGAAAGATAAATATGGATAAAACAAAAAATCAAATTTTGTGAAAAACTTTCGCGATCCCAATAAATCTTCGATTCTAAATTACACTGAACATTTCAGACTTCGGGTTCATGTTCGAGTCGTCGCCCGGTGGCAATTGGGGATTCGAGCCAGACATCAAGCTGACCGATGAAATGGTGATGATAATGGGTGGCAAAATGGAAGCGGCGCCATTTAAATGGTTCTCCGACTTGTGCGTGCAAGCTTATCTGGCAGTGAGGTCAGTAGCGGCAGCAATCACGTTTTGGGGTGGAATAATTTTTAAATTTTCAGACCCTACCAGGAAGCCATTATTTCGTTGGTTTCGCTCATGCTGGACACGGGACTTCCTTGTTTCCGTGGCCAAACGATTAAGCTGCTGCGAGGCCGGTTTAATCCGGGAGCGAACGACAAAGAGGCTGCCAATTATATGTTGCAGATAATTCGCAACAGTTTCCTCAACTTCAGGACACGTACTTACGATATGATTCAGTATTACCAAAATCGTATTCCTTATTAATTACATTGATTGTATTTAGTGGTAGATGGAGAAGGATTTTAGTCAAATGTTTGAGGATAATGTTACAGGAAAAGTATTTATAACTTCTTTGTTATTTGCATTTAATGGTTAAGTTTTGTAGATAGTACATAAATTCTAATACACCTAATCCTTACGTTTGATTATCCTCTCACGGAGTTGCTTGAACCAGTGAAGCTGCGTGTATAAAACAGCTTCAGGTAGAGTGTTGCACAATAAGGTTGGCGGTCACTCTGTTGTTGAGGATCTCGATCCAGTACCCGTCTGGATCGGCAATGAAAGCAATGCCTTTCATTGTTCCATCATTGGGCTTCTTTACGAATTTCACACAGAGCTTTTCGAATCGTTCGCAAGCTTGGTCTACATCGGGAACCATAATTCCAATATGACCTAATACAGGGTGAAAACCTTTACAACGGGTGGTTTAATAGGCTCTTTGCATGGAATTTGTTTTTGATTAAAAGCAGAGATACAAGCTTTGTTGCATATAAACACACTACAAGAAAAGAAATAGTGTTTTACAAGTTTCGCCACTGCTTGAAGTTGACGTGGCGGGACTTTCGTCTCGCGTACCGTATACAATAGGCCGAGTTTAAAGGCCCAGACGCCCCCTGAAGGCTAAAATTTTAACTACAAATTAAGTAGTAATTTGACACTTGCTTTATGGACATTGGTCTGATACGTTTTGTTCTAATAATATTCTACATTTTTATAACTGTTGCAAGATTTAAATAAATAGAAACAGATCGAAAAGCGTCTCGTATTGTTTTATGTTATAAATGTCATAAACTCCAAAAAATGTCCAAAGTCTGACAAGTCTTGACTGTCACTCGACAACGAGTAATTTGACGTTTCGAAGCGCCTCGGTGGTTAAACTCGCGAATTACTTTCAATACGGGATAAAGAAAATTTATAATGGGTAAAAGTGATGCTTTCGCTATCGAAAACAGTGACGAAAGTACATCCTTCCCAATAGGGGATCAAGAACAAAATATTTTGCTATTTAATTAGCTTTCAAATCTGATCAAATTGACGTCCTGCGAAAACGCGTGATTGGGCTGACGTCATGCAACCCGTCGGCCTGCACTGTTCATTTAAATCGTATGAGCGGTTTTATTAGTTTATTTGTATTATTTTGTGGATTATTGTCGAAAATGGCTGCAGGAGGATTTTTTGAAGCACAAACAGTTAAATTACCACTGGTGGATTCCTTGATGGTGGCTGAGTTTTACAAGCGAATTGTTTACAGTGTGCGTTGAAGTAACGTACGTGGAGTAAACACAGTATAGAAATGGAGCACTTGATTTTTAATTTATTACCTACATATCTTCGACTGAAAGGAATAACCGGCTAATTCGCGACCCGCTTGAAAAACCGGTTAACTCGAGAGCGTTTTTATTTTCTCGAAATTTGTAGTGGCAGCCCTGTACGATTCCTGCTAAAAATACGCTAATAAAAACTTGTACAAAATTGAAGTTGTTTCTTCTTAGAAACATCTTTGTCGGATGTCCTATACATTCACATTTTGTCTCAAAATTATTAAAATTTTTTATTATATTTTGAATATTGGAAATATTTTGGAAAATATTGAATATCTTTGGTGTCAAAATATTAAAAAAAAAATAAAACTCAATACTATTATAAAAATAAATTTAAAAAGCTAAAGTTGAAAGATGTTGTTATTATGTGTTGCTATCGAAACAATGATATGTCGCAAAAAATAATATATATGAAAATAGTATACTATTTTCCATAACTAACTTAGATCAACTAAATTGAAAAAGTATAAATTATCGCACACTTTATTTTCGAAAAAATCTTAACGATGTGATATATCACAGAAATCGTAATAAAATACTCAATAATAAAGTATGGTTGTCATTTAAAAAAACTCAAATTTGTGTCATATGTCAAAAATGCCAAATATCTCTTGACAGCTGTCAAATTTTAGGGAAATAAAATTGCTTTAGAATAGAGCATTCAAAACTACAGTTTTTTATTTATTTAACCTTTTTCGTAACTGCTATAGTTTCGAAGATCCCTGTCCTGGTCGTCGAAAAAAACTCACCCTGTAGATCAGAACAACCATGGCGTTTTCCCAGCCTTCGGGAATTTGTTCAGATGTTAAGCATAAATTAAACAGTTTTACTATTTCTTCTTTGGTTTTTTCGTCACTTTCCTTAAGCATTTCCGGTATTATGTCGTCCTCTCCTGCTGTCTTCGCTATATATAGCTGGCATTTCTTCTGAATTTATATTGACAATCTTTTTGGCTTTGTCATCATTTTGTCTTTTAGATGTCTCATTCGGGATTTTTTATTCACACAGGTCTGAATAAAAGAATTCAACCACCTTCAGTATTTGTGTTCTTCTATTATTTTGTCTGTCTCATCCCATATCTTCGTTATTTATTTCCTTTGCGTATTTTTTCTTTTATATATCTTTATTCCTCTGTTTTTGTATCTGTTTGGTGTTATATTTTAGGATGTCCTGTTTTCCTATTTTCCTAACCGTTTTGTTGGTCTGCGTAAATTCTATTTGGTCTCTTTTCCTCTTTTTTATGAGATGAGTTCTCTTCGTTTTTTCAGCATTTGTTTGGTTTCACTTGACAGCTTGTCCCCAGACGTTCGAGGAGGTTCGGACGTCTGTTTATCCGTTTCTTTTATGAACTTTGTTATTTTTCTATTGGCCTCATTCATGGATTCATTTGGCTGTCCTAAGTTTTTAGAGAAGTTTTTGTTAAGTTGTTTTTTGTAGCTTTCATTTTCGTCCTTAAGCTGTTCCCCATTTATTTCAGTTGCTATTCGTCTTATTCTTTTGGCTCTCTCAAGCTTAACATCTATGAAAATTTGCACCTTATCATTCTGTGGACGCTTCTAGTCGTTGATCACATCTACGTCCTGGATTATACGTTTTTTGCTTAGAGATAATGAAGACGATCTCGTTTTTTGTGTCTCCATTTGGGCTTTTCCATGTCCATTTGCGTTTTTCGTTTTTCTGAAAGATGGTAGAGCTTTTTTCATTCTTGGAAGTTTCTGGTTCCGATTCCAAACTTCCCTATGTATAATTCTGTTGGATCTGTGTTCTTCCCTATCTTGGCATGAAAGTCGCCCCCTATTATAACATGCGTTGTTTTATTTTCGTAGAGTGCTTTGGCTATATCTTCATATACTGTTTCTACCTCCTCGTCTTCGTGGGAAGAAGTTGGTGCATACAGAGTGATTCAAAATTGGCGTCATTCCTCTGGAGGTGTTGCCTGGCGATGTTTAGAACAAATAGTAAAAAATAATAATTGTTATTAAAAACTGAGCAATTTGCAAAAAACTATATTAGAAAAACGGCAACAATGTATTTCAAGGTACTCTGCCTAATTAACATTACGTAAATACCCGTTGCTTCGCAATTTTATAAAACTCCGGTAACCATGGATAAATAGAGAAAGTTACAATAAGATAGACGATGATAAACGGTAAATTCAACAGTAATCGTTGAATGACGGAACCTATTTCGAAACTCATAACCTCGAATTATTAATTTGTTTACAATTACAAAAACATACATTTGAGTCTGTAACTCCAAACAAGTGCCTGTGTAATCACCTTATTATGTTCTCTTCTCGAGCAGCTTCTCATATTCGGTTAATTAACTCAGCTCAATTTATACCGGTGTTCAGTAATCCATTGGTACTTACATACGTGATAGGAATGTAGCCGGTATTTATTTGGTGCCTGGGAAAGCGTCAGTGGTTGGGTGGTTGCAATGTTCTGAGTGCCCCTGAAATGCTCTTTTGCAATTATGTCCAAGACTTGTTCCTCTTTGTCTGGAACCCGAACATCTATTGTCGTCCACTATCTTCCTGGAGCCACTCTCCTCGCCCTTTGTTGGCGTGAGTTCTTTCAGCTTCTGCTATGTTACTGTAACTAATCTCATATCCGCCAATTCGTGAAAGGAAATTCAAAGTAAGTCACAGTTTGACAAATTACTGTTATTATTCACAAGGGCTATCCACCTGTAACTATCCGTTGATGACAAAAACATCATTGCCGCTTTGACGAAAATTGTAGAAGAGAACTTTTTTAATATCAACAATTTTCGTAATTTGAAACAAAGATCCTAATTTTTCTTTTTGAATGCTTAGATATTCCAATATGCTTTCAATTAAACATGGAACACTTTGAAAAGAATGCTTAATTACAAAGTTGAAATTCGATTTTCAACTGTCAATATCTTCTAGAAATTATCGAAAAAAAAATTTCAATATTTTTCCCGTACCTTCCAAGTGAGCCCCTATTACCCTTTAAAGGGAATGACGCCAATTTTTTAATCACCCTGTATATTACCCGATCTGATAGTCCTTTTAAGGTTTTTAGATTTACGGTTACTCTTCTGTTGATTATAATTCCAACTCCTCCTAAGACTTCCAATGTCGCACTTTTCGATGTCTTTTGTGCAAAGGCAGGTTTATACATGCTTTTTCCAGTGTAGACACTCAGACTGCTACACTCAGGCACCATACAATATTTATAAGCCATTTTCTACAACTCACCCCTTAAAGTTGGTTTGAACAAAAAAGTAAACGGCACCAGGCGAACCAAAAAAAAGTTGGGTGTAGTGACGTCAGCCGTCCAGCAAGTGCTGCCGCGTCGTTCAGGCACGCTCAATGGAAATTCAAATTTAGATTGCTTATAACTTCCAAATTAAAATCAAAACCTGGGTTCTTCAGACATTAATTGTCTATTTATCAATTTAAAAAACGTTTCGGTGTTTTCCACCATCATCAGTTTCACTAAAATAACAGGTAGTAAAAAAAAAATATGAATGTTTTCATCAATCTAAAAAGCAATCACAGTTTGTCAACAGCTTGTTATATCACACACTAAAATACATTACAATTGTAACACTTTAAAATATTCTGAGATTAATTGGGCCTAACAGGTGATCAGTTAGGACAATCAATTCTGGGAAGAGACTATAATTCTTTGTTCAAATATTCAATTCAATTCAATTATACTATAATAACTGATGATGGTGGAAAACACCGAAACGTTTTTTTAATTGATAAATAGACAATAAATGACTGAAGAACCCAGGATTTGATTTTAATTTGGAATTGAAACACAGTCAGGAAAGTACGTACAATTGCTTATAACTTCCTTGTAAGTAAGGTGAAATCGAACAATAATTGTTGAACGGTTAGTTGACCATAAATGAACACAATAAGCAAAGGGCCCATTGAGTCAATAACACTCACCGAACCCTTTAGGCTCCTGGTTTCCATTGTGTACGGTAAAGTCGGCGTCGTTTTCTGTTCCCCAGTTACTGCAAAAGACATTGATGCTTGGTTGTAATAAATAGCATGTAGACAACTGTTCGGGTGTTAATTTAGATTAGGGCGACTTACAGAACGTTGAATAAACTCTAATTTCAATCTGCTTTAGTTTGTTCTTCAAAACTGACTGACTGCTTTTTCTGAGAAAATTGAATACTCATTTGAAACTTATTTGTCACCCCAATATGCTCACTGTTTTTCAACTTGGGACCGTTTCTGACTTGAAGATTAAGAATATCGTGTAAATCGCTAAAATGAAAACGGGTTTTAATAATTTTGACTGTGTTGACTAGGTTTTTAATTTTAGATGGGTGGTAGATCTGAGTCAATTTGGGTTTAAGCTAGCGTGGGTTCGTATTTGTTTCAATACTAGTTGGTGTCAATTTCAACCAATTCTAATGTAAATTACCGAAAGCCCTTGGTCAATTTGGGTTTAAGCTAGCGTGGGTGGCAGGCGATAGCAACTACTTAAATTCCATCAGTTTCCCTTAGTATTAAAGAGCCCATGAGGRAAAAAGTGTCAAAAACACAACCACACAACAAAATTTTTTTGACCTGATATTGTGGCACATATCCTTTAGTATTTTGAACTGCTGAATCCAAATCCGCAGTTTGACTCTCTCAGGTCAGGATCAAAGCCATTCCAAGGTCTAATTGAGAAAGAACCATTTAACTTGACAAAGTTGAACTTAATTTTTTATATTTTTTTACAAACTTTTTGTTGTAGATAAGTTCTATATTGTTGAGGCGGATTGATTTTTTACAAACTTCTTTTTGGGTATTTTGCCTCAAAAATTTTTGTCTTTAAAAAAGACAGAATTTCCTCACGTCTTTTATTGCAGATTGATAAATAGTGCTCCTATTTCGCAATAAGAACGAATTATTTATCAAAAAGTATTCAAGAACTATCACCTAGAGGGTATCCTGCGACACACTTAG